ATAGCCTAGGGCGGCTTTTTTGGAAGGGCGTTTTTTTTTATAGAATTAAGGGTTATTATTGACTTATTAGGTATATTTATTTTAATATATTTTTTTTATATTTCTCATATAAACACGAATAAAAATAATTTTAAAAAGTTATAATAATATATTAATATGTACATTGTATGATGCGTATATATCTTTAGGCTATAGTAAGAATATTAAAATTATTATTACAATTTGAAAATATTTCATTTATAATAAAATAATAACAGATAGTTAATAGTTATTATTAATAACTTATTAGTACCTATGTACTCATTGGGAACATCTGACTATCCGAGTATAGGTATTTTCATATCTGGCTATTTATATTTCCGTTATGTAACTATAAAAGCATTGTTTATTTGTACTGGTAATAATGGTATATCTGAAGTAAAATAATAGACGTGCAATATTTTATTTTTTAGAAATTTTCTATTTTAATTATTATATTTTATACTTTTTGATAAAAAAATTAGAATAAAATTTGAAGAGAAGGATTTAGACCAAATATTGTTGGTTCCTTAGTAGAGTGATAAGGGGGGAGGTAGATTGATTAAGCCTAGGGGTGTCAAAACGCTAAATCCGCCACTGGTGCCAGCAGTGGGGCGTATTTTCAATTTTTTCTAAGGGGTGTCCATAGTTTATACATAACTAATATAAGCTATATATTATATTGTAATAGTTACATCCTTATACAGTTTTTGGAGGAAGTTGAACTAAATATATAATGTAATAATCGTATAGTCTTATGTAATATTATATATTTATATATATACCTATATATTGTATTTAACATTATATATTATAAAGTATTGTTATAAAATAAATTCTAGTTGTCTCGATTTTTTGGCCAACTCCTCTATCACTTCATCATTAGTAATTTCAACTTCCCTGTGAATGTTTAACATAGCCAATTCTGCAAATATGTAAGAATTTTAGTTTATTTTTTGGAGAGGTTCTGGGGGGGGGTCCAGTACCCCTGGATCCTCCCCGTAAATACGCTACTGGGTGTCAGTATTGCATGTCGATTGCTTGTCAAACGCCCGTGTCTGTATCATATCTCGCGGTTGTACGCAGTGTTGGGAATAGATAATGCAAAATTTATCTAGATAAATATAATAGATAAAAGAAATTAAAAGAACTAGATAAAGATAAAAGATAATTTCACTTTTATCTAGATAAAAAAAAAATATTTTAAAAAAAAATGTTATTTTTTGGTTAATATTTCATATTCTAATAATATCTATGAAGACTTAATTATAATCATTATTATAAATAGGTATCTAGGTGTTTAATGTTTATTGTAGTAATGTAGTATACCATTAAGCAGTATTTATATATAATGATAGTTAATCACTAAAATGTTACACAAAAAAAAAAAAAATTTGCTCTGTACGTATCAGAATGATGAATACAGAATACATAAAGTTAACAATATTGTTTCCCATATAATATTAATTTGATGATTTTCATTATTCTATAAGTAGTTACGACTTTACGGGTTCCAAGAGTGAAATAATGATTGTTCAGCGTATGAGTTACACGTGTATACTAAAATCAAATACCTACTATATTTGGAACTTTCGTGGAAAAATGAGAAATTAAGTTTAAAAATACCAAAAATATTTACTCGACATGAAAATACAAACAAAATGTCTTACCAAATAATAATAATAAGTTATTAATAATACACGAATTATGTTTATGAATACAAATTCTATACGTATAAATTAATTAAATGTCGTTTATTATTTGTTTTAATTTTAATTTTTAGAAATTAAATAACGTCTGCGACCATTTATTCACTCCGAGTTTTTCGGCGTGCGTATCAAAAGTAACGGTCCGTGGAGTTTTTAGAACACTCCGTCCGCCGCGCTCTTAACACCGGGAACACGAAAACAAAAGATGAACCGCAATGACGTGGGCGCGCATTGATTTCGTTCGAGGAAGTCGTCTATAAGAAGCTCGGCCCCTAGCAGCCGGCACCGGTCTCTCCTCGTCGTGAACAAAACGATGATCGAATTTCGGTCGCGCGCGCGCGCTACTCCGCGTCGTCCGATACAACGTGCGCGTGACGTAGCGCTGCACGCGGAAAACCGATTGGATTCGGTCCAACCGTAGTCGGGGGGGGGGGGGGGGGGTGCACGCGTACGCTTGCGAGTATTATAATATTTAGATGTACACACGTGTGCGTGTAAAATTACGGGTCGCGGTCGTCCAGGCAAATTGTTTCGACGTCGTCGAGCCGGTACACGAGAGCGCGTCCTAATAACAATTATGTTATCCCGTCCGGGCGCTCTCGCCCGTTATTCTATCCGTATTGTGTCTCGCGCGAGTGGCGCCACGGGACAGCCGTTCGCGACGAATTACAATAACAGATTTTATGCGAAAACCGCATGCGCGAGCGTAAAACACAGAGCCGTGTCAAACATTTCAGCGTCCAGGGGCAAAATTTTTTCTACTGGGCATAGTTAGCATATTAAGCGCGGATAAGAGCGCGCCCCCTTGCTTTTAAAGAACTACGGCGCCCGAGGGCAATTGCCCCTTTTCACCCCCCCCTCCTCTTAACACGGCCCTGGTAAAATATATTGATTCGTTTGCGCGTGCTCTACACGTTTAACTCGACGTGTGCGCGTGTCGTCGCCGCGGTCAACTTGTTTCGCTATCGTATCCGGAGTCGGTTGACATTCGCCAAACAAATTACTCGTGCGATGCGTGGGAGTTGCCGTCGCGTAAACTCCGGAATAACATTGCCGGACGTTGATATAGCCGACGCGAACAACGTTTAAATTATAAAATAAGTCATCGTTCGGACCAGAGGACGGATTGACGTTACAAAATGGTCCGGCACGTCGCGCGTCGTGTTCGTTTCGCTTTTCATTTCGAACACCAGTCGGATATCTCTGTTAACAACGTAAACATGACACTCGTCCACGGGCAGTCGGACACGGGGCGTCGATATAATAATACGTTATAAGAATACTGATTTTGCAGATAAGCCCGAGAACTATGGGAATGGATTATTTATTTATTTTTTTTTTCGACAGTCGACATTGTTCCATCGAGATATCCTGCAATGCAAATAAGTATAAATTAAGGTCGTAAAGTTATTTAAAATTGGTTTTAATACGTACGTCTATTATTCAAAGATAATAATACAACCAATATAAACGTGAAAATTATTATTGTTTATCACTGTCAATAGTAATGACCCAATATAAAGGATACACCGTTCTAGTAGTTTGCAGTAATTTCTTATATTTATACATGTATTATGTTTGTGTATAAACTTTTTTTTTTTTTAAAATACTAAGAATCATAAGACTACATGAATAATTGATACTTGGTATTATGTTTTCTTAATATGTATGCATGTTTTTAAGTTCAGAAACCAATGCATGTTCTCCTTAAAAAGGTATTCGAACAGTAAATAGAAATTCTTGATAAAAAAAAAATCTATGTTTCAACGGCCGTCGTTTTACTTCGCTATCGGTTTTGTTTTGCAGTATATTTTAACGTTAATCCCTTGAGGTATTAATATATGAATATTCAGTTCAAGACCAATTCTAATAAGCAAGAATGATGTCGCCAAACGTTATACGAACTGATGTTATATAACGTTTGCCATACGAACGTAATAATATGAAAGCTGAAAGTATAACTTTAGTAAAAAAAACTTTGGTTGTTAACTAATGCAACATTTATTTCGTTTTTACGATTCTCCCGTCGTATCCAACAATCGATTGCATCGTGACGTTAACCGATAAGTTTGGTTCGTACATCTCCGCCGATTGACTTGTGCATTTTACTAGTTACATCTGTGTAGTGCGCGTACGTTCATATACGTACGCATTGCATATGGACGAAAACCCTATCATTATTACGTGCACTACGACGAAGATTATATACGTACACGTGTGAACAAGCCGGGAACGATGAACCGAAAGCAGCGACTTATGATTTGTAGTCATACATTAGTCGGCCAAAATCATGAATCGTCGGTCGTCAACACGTGTCATTTTATCTGAAAAACTTCACCACACGGCGTTTTTTAGTAGGAGTGAAAACACATAAAACGCAATGTGATTATAATATAAATAATAATAATAACAATATCATAATTACGTCATGCATGGTATTATAGTAGTGTACGGGCTCTCGAAGTTTGTTTTTTCACACGTCTCTCACCATATACGTACACTTGTTATTATAACCATTATCACTTCATTATAATTTTTAAAACAATAATTATTATTGAAAATAATCACGCGTTTGATCGATATTTTAACCATTTTGTTTTTTTCCATTCGGACCGGTGTTTCCCTAAAAAATCTGAAGTATTATCGACTATATTATACACGACGTGTAGTACATCATCGATGTTTAAAAAATTAATTATGTGCGCATCGTAGTGCAACTCGTTTTCGATCTTACAAAAATTAATCATCTAAGCTTTGTGCTTCTCGTAACAGAGTATTACGCAGTACTGTGGAACACTGAAATTTGCATGACACGTGATGCAGTATATACCGCAGTAGGCAGTAGTTTATGATAATATCGATTGAAAAAAAAAATTTGATTAATAAATAAATTAATAAATATCTGATTGTATATGTATATGCCGTATATAGGTATACATCCATACATACAACACACAATTCGGTATTTAAGTGGTTTTAAGGTAAAAGTGTCCTTGGTTCTTGTACCAACAAGGCGTATAGATTGAATAAATCGTTACAAGATTATGATTTCTGGTCACGTTTATGGACGTCAACGCTATATTGACGCCAAACTTTATTAATCTCGAAACGTGACGACGGACTGTAGCTTACATATTATGCGCGAGTGTATATTATGTTCTGTAAACAAAAAAAATAATAATAATGCGAAACAATTTTGCGAGATACGAAATAAAAATGCACTTGTAACGTTAGTCGGTATATGTATGTATGTAGGTGTGACGTGTAATGTCAATTCGAGAAAATTTCGATACGTACAAAGTTCGCTGATTTTCATACGGAACAATGGACAGTACGCTGCGTAATATACGCGCACATAGGTATAAGTAGAGTTTTGTTCAATGTAACAATAGTGTTCCTTCTTCAAATTTATTATCTTTCAAGTAGACTAACCTCTCTTCAACAGCTGTATTGTCTATGTGATACTTCTAAAGAAAAACGCTCGACTCAAGTGCAACCGGTAAATAATTTAAAATATATTATTATATACCTACCAAAATTAAAAAATAAATTCCAACGTTACTGTTTTATTATCATTGTTGCACATTTTTTCGTAACATGATCCTCCGTACAAGTCATGTTTTGCGGCTGCAGTAATTTTTGATATTGTTTACCGACCGGATATTAATGTAATACATATTGGTGTTTGACATGTATCACTTTAAACTTACGTTTTTTTTTTAGCATTTCCATCCGGAACTAATGTTTGTGTTTATCAATATGTTGTAATAATTAATGTTAAGCAGACGACACGATAAAGCACTGGGCAACAACATATCATTCATAGCGGGTTCGAAGAATTTCGTAAGCACTTGACATTTGACAAGATATTTACATACAATTTCAATAAAATACTGCACACTTGTCAGTTATCATTATCAATTATTTAACAATTTAGAATACTTAATTTGCACATAATTTGCTGGCAAATCTATTATTCTCAATGGTAATTGATGAATTCAAAGGTGTTATATACATTTATACAGTATATTTTAAAAATGTTCATTAATAAAATATACTCTCGTTTAAACCGAGTATAAATATAATAAATTGTCCAATTGTCCTTTGTTTTTTTTTTTTAATTTCTAGACTTAAATTGTAACATTGTAACAATATATACACAATGTACATTTTTTGATGACTTTTGTTTTAAAATATGCCTCAACAATAATAATTCTTAAACACCACATTCAAATATTTATACAATACAATTAAAATAACAATACCAGATATAGTCTGCGATGAAAAATTAAGGACAGTATTGACTTAATGTCTGGTGAGAAATTATGGTAAGATCAAGATTGAATTGTTTTATTTATTTTTTTGGAAAATAAACATTAGATAATTTTAAATGGTGTTATTTTATGAGTAAGTAAACTTTTTCAATTTTTAAATTGTACATTTTTTACTTATGCGTCTATAGAAAAATATTATTATGAAAAAATCATTTAGTTTTTACAAAAATAATACTCAATAAATGCAATTATTTGGACTTTATAATAATATTTAGTACCTACGTTAATGTGATATATATATTATAATGAATTGATTATAGAAGTGTATTTGTTAAAAGAAATTTTCAGTAAAAACATTTTGTAAAAATTAATTAGACATTTTATAATTTCTCTCGAAATGTTAATTTAAGTAACTTATTGAAACATTGTTATTTTTAATTTTAAGAGAACTAATCTGTGTCACAACTATTGAGTTTGATACAAAAGAAAAATAGGAAAACAATTAGCACTTATAATAATAAGTTATCCAGCAAGTGTTTATATTTATTGTTAGTGAAATAAGTAATTTTTTATTTTATAAAGTAAGAATATTGTACAAAAGACTAAAATTTGACTTAAAATCAATATTTAACGAGAATGTTATAAATATTTTACGTTGTATTGGTAGGTATAATAATTGAATTAACCAAAATCCAATAAGAAAGTTATACAAAATAACATTTATTGTAATGTGAATCATTTCAAACAATAAATATTATAACAATATAATATTATTAAGGTTTGGATTTTAAAGCCATAAAAACGTCAAAAGTGTTTTAGGTTGTATAAATTATATTGTGCTGAATGGTGTTGAATTCATTACATTTTTCCACAAGTCATCAAATTAGTGTTATTTAATTATCGACTGTCAATTTTATAAAGAAGATAATAATTGAGCTGCAATGGGCGTTTATTAAGATTAAAAGTAACGACAGTAAAAAAGTAAATATATTTTTTATTTAGATATAATGATACAAATATTAGGAAAGTAGTTAATTCAAATAATATTATTTCCGTTTAAACATTTTTTTTGGTTTTTTTTTTTGAGTTGATTATTTTATTGTATTAAAGAACCGTATACACTATAAAAATAGGAGAAGTATTATAGTGAATAATAAAAGTAGGGAATTAAATTGTATTTTTGAACTCTTTGACGTACAATTGTTCTACAAATTTAATTATTTTCTCTGTTTATGGTTACCTTAACTTTTCAAAGTATAAAAATTGATTATTTGATAATTTAACCTCAAAATGTATTTAGAACAATCGTACATAGTTTATTTGTACACTCATCAAAATAAATATTGCTAGAGTGGTTTTTTTCGGTAACTTTTTAATGTTTATAAAAGTCCATCTAATATGATTTTGGTATTCCTATAAAATATAGAGTATATTATGGTCGATAAAAGTGCCATTTGAATAGACGTACGAAGGATAAGACCGCATCGGGTCTCGTACCAAAAAATAAAGGACCTCACGTTTTTGACCCTCATTCTCATTTTCTGATATAAAAAATACTTAGCATTACTAAAAAATAATCATTTTTTATTTTTTTATAACATTTAAGAAGCAAATAAAATATTAAAATATAAGCTACAGATGTATTCGAGTCGATCAAAAATGTTCGTAGCGGCCTCCTGTCCCTTTCTAGCCCTTTCTAGCCCACAATGAACTATTGATTTGTTCATTACGTATAGCAATATATTATAGTGTTTTTATTAACTGCAATGTAATATGATCTGAACGAGTATCAATCGAGGAGACGTCAAATCTGATAATATTACACTTAGTTATAATTAGAATCAAATTTGAGACTTTGGACCTCAAAGTTCAGGCCTATTTTGCAACTTGTAACCTGGTCCAATGCCTAGATTAAAATGTATACAAAAATCATATAAAATAATTTTATTAACGTTTAAAATTTACAATTTATAAAGCATAAAATGGACGAACGTAAGAATCTTTGTTTGGCGTAACAGTAATGACGTATGGATAATAGTTTTTATGACAAACCTTACACACATGTTGCAGATTCACTGTTGGACGTGGAACACGAAATAAAAAATTAGCTCAAGTGACGGAATTTATTTTCGAAAATAAATATTTTAACTATTTTAACCACTTTCATGTTCGCTCGTCATTTTGTAAGAAGAGTGAACACACTTCAGATGTTCAGCGTTAAAAATATCGGATTTATCCTTTTTGGAGTATTGCTCAGACTTTGTTAGAATAATAAATCAGGTTTAAACAAATAAGACTAACCGTTTAGCTGAGGTTCGTAAAAATACTTATACAAATAAAGTGATGAGCCTCTTATGAGTAATCTTAAATAATTGATTATAAGACGCGTGTGTTGCATTATTTAGTTCCGTCAATGAAGACCGAACGTAACGCTGCAGAGGGTTAGTGCTTTCAATCATCCAGATAGATAATATATGTATGAGGAGGCTATACGTTTTGTACAACCATTGTCTCGCTTGAACAGCTGCAGTAGCTTGCGAAAATAGAAACGAAACACGATAGCGAATCGTCAAAGAAATCAAATTGCTATTCGGGTGACTGTGGGCGATGCAAATATTACAATAATTGTAGATGAGTGTGTTATTTCGTAGTAATGAAATAATTCGTCAACTTATATGGGCAACAAGAGGAAGAAACCGAAAAAGAAGTGGACACATGACGGAATTTTGTTAGCATCATATTCCGTGAAAAATATTTGTGCACACCTATGGGTTCGGTTGGACTGTGAGCTAATTACCTGTCTGCACGAAGAATAATTTGTCGTAATGATTACTTTCGGTATACCGTATAGTAGGTTGGGATAAAATAATCTAATTATGTAAATTATTTGCGACACTATTGTATGATTAAACATTTATAATGTATTTAAAACCTAATTCATAACGTACTAAGCATATCTTGTAAATAAACACACGTCAATGACCCAGAAATAAAACAGAGACATCGTATAATAAAGTCATTAATATTTCGACGTCGATGTACCAGAACAGTGCTAGTGAAAAAAATAGAACACGCCCCTCACGTAGACAGGCGTAAAATCAATTTAAAAAATATACTAACCTTTTAGTCTATCTTCGACACACTCGGTTTTAATTATATTTGCAATAAATATATTTACGACTCTTGATTAAAAAATTAAGGTTAGGTGTCGACAATTTGAAGCGAATAAAGTTCATTAGTCTATATTGTATTATTTCTCTGGGTCAAATATAATTTACATAATCATAGTTTACCATAAAATTTTAATATTTATTATTTATATTTTTAATTTATAGGTTTTGATTTGCTTGTTTAGACTAAAGTATTGCTATTTATAGTTAATACTGGGAATAGTATAAGTACATTTTTATTTTACGAGTACTAAAAAAATCTAAATTTAAGTTTTAAATTTTTTTTCTATTATAAACATTACTCTTTACTTAAGTATATTATATCAATATTACGTACATTACTTAATGTTTACAGAACAACTATTTTATAAACACCATAAAAGTATTACAGTTTTAATTATACTTAAAAATCTAAAATCAAATATTGATTAAAACGAATAATACAATTTTAAAATATTATGTTTTTTCATCTATATTACATATATTTAAATTACCAATTTTAGAATCGAAAAGAGTTTTTTTTTTTTTTAACAAGAAATATACAATCTATACCCTTGGGCACAATAAGAATATGTAATATTTTGTACACGAAAGTGTGAAGGAAGAAGCTATCCAGTGAAAGCACTACCTATGTGTTTATTAATAATTTTTTTTTTTTTATAATTTTAATTTATTCATTTAGTAAATCTCGACACCAATTTCTTTTCAGTCATCGTGTTGGGTTGCCTGGAATTATGTTTGTAGCTAAGTTGTATATGAGGGGATTAGGATGATATGGAAGTCTGTTATGTAATCTTTTGTAATTCCTACTACTTCAGCACTTAACTGTTTTAATATTTAAATCGGTGTGCAGAGTGTAGTTGGAGACATATGGTGGGGCGTTAGTAATTAATCTTAAAATTTTATTTTGAACTGTTTGGATTTTATTTACATTGGTTTTTTTTGCATTGCCCTATAATTTTAGGCTATAAGTCTATATGGACTTGATTAATGATTTATATATGAGAATTTCGGTGTTTAGTTAAGTGTGTTTGTTGGATATTAGTGTTTTAATTGAGCGTAATCTTTCGTTTAGGATGAGTTTTTTAATTCTGATATGAAGTCCCCAGGTAAGACGACGGTCAAAGGTTAGGCCTAGTACTAAACCGAATGGGATGAAAGAATTGGTATGTTACTAAGGGAGACTTCTGGGTAGAGAGAAGGATGAAGAGTGGACGTAAAGTGATCGGATTTTGATTGGTTGACTTGAACTCACCATTTTTCATTCCAGACAGACATTAGGTCAAGGTGTTTTTGAAGATTTAAAAAAACAATATGTGGGTCTTCATATACTGATATAATTGCCTTATTATCCGCAAATTCAGCTACAGATGTTGTTGGAAAGGTAATAATAAGTAAGAAATATGTTGGAGCAAGAAAAGCTTTTAGTTTATATAGCAGCCCTTC